CCAGACTGTAAGCAGACACCTTCCTACTCAGAAGCAGGCAAACAGATGAATTTCTTAATGGTGAATCAATGTTAAAAGGATTTCTTTGGTTGGACTGGATGAAGTTCCATAGAGGTTGTTATGGCCATGGAATAAGAAACATTAATATTTTCAATTTTATAACTTCAATACTAGCAATTTAGGACTTGAATTTATAAAATTTGGCTATTTTTATACACCACAGAATTTTAAAGCTTTCAATTTCTGTGCTATAGGTTATTGTGTTAATTTTACATTTTTCTGAATGAGCCTTAGTAATGTTTCATTGGGTCTTGTGTTGGGTTTAGATAAATTATCAGGGCTTTTACGCGGTCTGTGGTTTATATTAGCTAAGTCTTTTTCCTAATTGTAATAGTTTTAGCTTTTAAGAGTCCTAGGCTAATTATGACATGTTATTTATCTGTCTACTTATATCCTTTTGTAGTGCTAGAATTTATAATTTTTCTTTTTGCATTTAAGGTTTGAGTTATTGACAGTTCTTGGAGAATTTTTCGATAAGCCTACCAAACCTCGATGAAAGTTCGGGTCTGTTACCATGATTCTAGAATAAAAAAGAGAAGGGATGGTTGGAGATCTTTGATCTTATACGAAACTCATGGGTGATAGATTTGGTAGTGTGCCTATGTTTATGTTCAACTATGGAATTTAAGGATTTTAAGAATTGTAGCTATCATAGGAATTAGGTTAAAGTTTTTGTATCAGTGAGGCTTTTTGTATGATCCCAACAGAAGGTTAGAATTGAGGGGAAAGATTTGTGGAAATTCCGTGGCAGCAGAATTGGAGAAAGCAAGTTCAAGGGCCTATTGTGCTGTGAACACCTGAGAGTACTGCTGAGAGAGAGGGAAAATTTGTTGGGAGCATATCACTTAAAATCATTGTAGTACAATTAGCCAATTACAATTTAGAAATGTGTGGGGAAAATTTTATATGAAACCCACACTTATAAGTAGTGAACTCCTACCTAATTCTTTATTGTGATTGGACAATTGTAGGATTGTAGTAAAAAGAATTGCAGATGAAATGCTCCCATATTTATGAAGGTGCAAGAGTACTCACAAACCTATCAGGACTAAGATTCATAATGGGAAACTGACTAGTAACTTGGGCCTCATGAAAATAATCTGAACTCCTAGGGATTCTTGGAGCAGTCTAAACACAGTAACATAGATACATGACAGTTCTGCCTTATTCATTAAAATTGCTGGAAAAATTAAGATAAAATGCAAAATTGCTGATTCCGAAATTAGTAACATGAATAACAAAGTTTCTTCTTCCATGTCTAAGATAACTTGCTTTTGTATTCTTGGCACCCACTTTGAATCCGTTGAAAGATGGTGAAAAGTCAAATGGTGCCTTAATTTGCACAAATGTCATCCCTATTTTTAATGAAAGAAAATCACATGAGAGCAAAGTGTCATGCTTGGAACCTTGGGATATTCTTCTAATGGTGCAGTTTTTAAAATATGGTAGTAAATGAAACCAAGTTAATTCCAATATGTCCTGTGGTGTTTGCTTTTATTTTGACATGATTTTCGATCTATTGTGCTCTTTTTTGCTGTTGTTTGTTATAAATCATCATCTGTTGGCATAGTTTGGAAGGAGCACAGAGACCAGTTACTTTGTTGTTCAACTGAACAATGAACTAGCTAGCATGATATATATCTGAAATTTGCCCACCACTGGAGTTCGAACCTGATAATATAACCGTAATGTCTGCTTGAGGGCTGGGACAAGCTTGTATAGTTAATCAAGAAAACTTAAAGAGTTACTGAATAGGTGGCCAAGACAAATAGTTCTGGTTGCAACGGCTTAGACTTTATTTATTTATTTATTTTTGACATTGTGAAATTCGGAATTAATTACTAGCCGGTGGAGAATATGAGAGGGAAAGAGGGACAGAGTAATGAATAAAGATAAACCATAGGAGAAACAGGAAAAATCATAGTTGAACGCCACTTGTCATCTATTTATGTTGGTCTTTAGATTATTATTCGAATTGTCCTTAAAAGGATTAAATATTGTTTTACTTTGTGATGGTATGCTTCAGTCAGGTGATGCTCTTCATGAAGATGATTAAGCTCCATTGCTGGGCTCATAGCCGTATCAGAGCTTTGGACATGTGAAGTGCTTGCTGCACTTCAGTCACTGGCGGTGTTCGGCATTTAGTCCATTTACAGTAGCAGTATACTATGTTAATGTTGGACGGAATCTGATTAGTTTTAAGTCAGGTGCGATAATCTTTTTGACACCAACCACATTTGGTTTAGTCTTTAGGTATTGTCATTCTTAACCTTTAGTTACATTGGTTCTGTGTAGTTATTTGTTGGAAACTCATTTGTATATTTAAGTTGTGAATGAACACTGGTTATTTAGGGTTCATTTGGATTCCATCACACTGCTGGTGCGATAGAATCCAAGCTATTTTCGTCCTTAATTGCACTGTAAGGTGCATTTGGGTAGCACCCCAGCAATGCAGTTGCAGACAAAAAATCTCACCATCAACTGGAGAGAGAAAGGTCTAGTGATTCCAATGAATCACCGGATCTTAAGGCAGCTAACAATCGACTATCTTTAGTCGGGCAATCGAATGCTATATCTAATCTCACCGTCATCAACAACTTTGCATCCAAATACATATTTATACTATGAGTATTTCAGTTCAGTTCTGAGGTTGATCTAATTTTGTAGAATATTCTTGGTGTTGCAATGGCCAAAGTTGAATAACCATTGACCATTTCACTTCCTCTTAATGTGGAGTGTTGCTATTTGTACCGCAATAATTACTCAACATATCTCTTATTTTATTTTCTCCTTATTAAGATACTATTTATAATAAGCTAAAATAAAAAATTAAAAAATAATTATTAAAATTTATCACTTTATTTAAATAAGTTTTTATACTTTTATCATATTAAAATAATTTTTTAATTTTTAATTTATATCTAAATAAATTATTAACTTTTTTATTTGCATTTAAATAAATCTTTAATTTTTAATTTATATTTAAATAAAGCTTTAAAATAAATCAATCTTTATATGAAATAAAAACCTTATTTGAATACAAATAAAAAATAATAATTTATTTAAGTATAATAAAAATATAAAGATTTATTTAAGAAAAGTTGAATGGTTTATAGGTTTTATGAGTATTTTAACTTCTATAATTATTTTGTTGTATTTAATTCAAAAATTAATTAATGGTTAATGTAGTAGTAATTATCTACGCATTATGTAAATAAATATTTTTACAATACAAACAAGATATTTTAATTTTTATTTAGATCTAACTTAATTTTTGATGCGCTTAAAATTTTTTTTTTTGAAATATCTTTTATAAGAATCGGATTTTGATTTATGAGTTAGAGTTAGATGAAAAAAAAAAAACTTAATATAATATTAGTAATTAACAAAGTCTTTAGATAAAATTTTTCTTAAAGTAATATTTTAATAATTATGAATATTAAAATTTATAATTGTACATGTAGGAGACCATGTTTGCCAATATGAAAAAATAGAGCGTGTAACACACGGACCAATCAAGAAGCATTAAAGTAATATTAAAGCGTCACTTTTTACTTCTCTTGAATAGTTATTAAACAAAAGGTAACTAATTAGAGACTGACAACTGACAAGTAATAACAAGAAAACAAACAAATCTTTGGAAAAGCGCTTTGAAAGGTAGGGATGTCAATTACTTTTTAGATATCTGATTTTGAACTCGATTAAATTTTTAATTATTTAAATTTTATAAGTATTCAATAATTTTATAATTTTATAATTATCCGAACTTTATCCAATTAAACCTTACAATATTCGTTTATTACTCAACACGTGTAGCTATCTTATGATTAAGTCAACAAATTAAATTAAAAATTTTTTTGGATAAATAAAAAAACTCTTCATGTTGACAGTGTATAATAATAAAATACTTTAAAATAATAATGAGTGAGGTATTATGCAATTTATTAATATTTATGATTATTTTTTTTATTTTATTTATTAATAAAATACCATAAATAATTAAAAGTCTTAAATTGTATTTTTAATTATATTTTTAAATACATTTTTTAACAATAATAATAATGTTAAACCAAATTGGGCTTAACAAATGATATCTAAACATGAGATTCAAATCTAACACTATAAATTTTTTTATTCCAACCTCCAATGTTTTATAAAAAAGTTAAATTAATTGTGATTAAATAAATAATAATTAATTAAACTTAATAAAAACAAAAAAAAATTCTTACAATGGTATGTTTCATATTAACTAACTAAAATAAATTGTTAATGAGGTTTTGATTTAGTAGTAAAAAGGATGATTTAGAATTTTAATATTTTAAATTTAAGATTTATTTTGAGTGGATTTGATTATTTAATTAAATAATAATTTATTATTATTTTTGAAATTCTTAAATTTAACTTTAAATTTTTATCTTCTTAGTTATCTGATTGAAAAAAATATTATATGTATAATCTTTATTAAACTTATAATTTTAAAACACTAATTCTAATAATATATTAACTGATTTAAAAAATAATTAATAAATTATAATTTATTAATTAATTATTCAATGATATAATAGTTTATTATATGAATAAAATATTTGATTATAAACATAATTTAAAAAAATTAAAAAATTTGTTAATTCTATATCTACACATTCTTATGATTATATATTTTTTAATATTTTAATTTATTACATCACTGTTCTCAACAACACTAAATAATTAAATATTTTAAATTAAATTTTTAATTATATTTTTAAACGGATTTTTAATCAAAACTTTTCTTAACAATAATAACAATATTAAATTAAATCATATGTTTTTTTTTATCCCGAACTCCAATGTCTTATAAAAAAAAAAGATTAATTGTAATAAAATAAATAATAACTAATTAAACTTAAGAATAATAAAAAAATCTCTCTTTCTTTTACTTCCTCCTTCTACTCCTTTATTTCCGCTCTTATCGACATTTCTTTCTCTCAGGCTTTTAGCTTCCATTCTCTCTAATTTCCTTCCTTTTCTTTTTTTTTTTCCTTTTCTTTATCCTTTCTATTTTCTCCCTCACCAAACACAAAACCTCAAAAAAAAAAAAGGCTTTCCTTTTTGTAATCGCTTCTTTGTCAGATCTTGATGTTTTACTCTTTCTATTCTCGGAACCTTTTTCTTCTAGCTCAAAATTACGGTAATTAGAAAAGAAACTCTAATTTTGATCTAGGGTTTGCTCTTTTATTATTAGTATATGTTCTAGATCAAGGAATTTATTATAATTATAATTTTTTGGGTTGAATTTCGGGTTTTCCATTTTCGCTTTGTCTCAGCTCTCACTTCAGTCAGGAACCATAATTGAGCTCGTTCAAAGAATTTTTATTTTCGGGCAAATTTTGCATCTTCTTAAGGCAGGTAATTGAACTTTACTTTTCTTAGATTTCTTTTAGTTTTTTTGTTTGTTGTGCTTATTTTATGAAATGGGTAGATTTGGACTTATTTAATTTAAATTTAGTTTTTTAATGTAGTAATTGATACCGCAATTATTGCAGCTTATAATTTATTAAATGATGGATTATTGGAGTAATTTATGAGAGAACCTTAGTGCAATAAATGCAGTTTGGATTTTTCTTTTTATCTGAATTTATGTGTCATCATTTCTGGAAATGGGTCTCTTTAATTTTTGAAAATTATATGTTATCTGCTTTCCAAATTAGGTAAAAGGGTTTAATTCAACGTTGGAAGATTGGAATGCTTTTTCCATTTTTGGAATATAATTGGAATTTGATACCCGGTTTACATCTATGTTTGCTGGATTTCATATTCTGTGGATAGTTTTCTTTTCTATCGACTGATTTTAGTCTTTGTGTATGTGATGATTTTTTCTATGGTTTCCAAATTCATTATCTGTAGAATTGTGCTTCTATTATGCCAAGGACTTTTGTTCCCTTTTATAGAATTTAATATGCTTTTGCAATTCTTATTTAACATTTGAATAAAGAAGTGTCGTGTTTGATCCACTTGTAGCTTGTTGTGATGCGCAAAGAGTGTGTATTGGGGGAAAAATGTACCCGTGGGAGTTGGAGTGCAAGTATGAACAAGTGAGGAAAAAGCGCCACCTTTTGTTCTTTTTTTTTGTTTTTTGTTATAATTTTGCACGTCTTCTATCTTTTCTCTGGTTTCAGGTTTTGAATGATTCTCACCTGTTGGTAGGGATTTGTGTGTGATTACAAAGAGATGAGTCACACAAAAAATCAGAGGGAAGATGGAATGCTCTCTAAGGATCAGACAGAATCGCCATTGATTGATGATGGTAACTGTGGAGGAGGTGCGGCTGGGGGGGTTGTTCTGAAGAAAGGACCATGGACGTCTGCTGAAGATGCAATATTGATAGACTATGTGAAGAAGCATGGGGAAGGCAACTGGAATGCTGTTCAGAAGCACTCTGGATTATTTCGTTGTGGAAAAAGTTGCCGCTTACGTTGGGCAAATCACTTGAGGCCAAATTTGAAAAAAGGGGCATTTACTCAAGAAGAAGAACAGCTGATCATTGAACTCCATGCAAAGATGGGAAATAAATGGGCTCGGATGGCTGCATATGTAAGTGTGCAGTTCATTTACCATGAATCTAGTTATTCTCATGATTGGTTGAATAAGAAAAATTTATTATTGAACATAAAAGAAAGTTAAGAATTACATTAAAAAAGGAAGCTTTAAATTTGTGTTAAAGCAAAATATGTCCGTAGAATTGCACCCTGCCCTCTCTGTACGCTGAATTACTTTATTGCTGTCTTTGAACCCTCTCATTGTACAATAAATTTAGAGCATGTTACCTAAATATTATGAAGAATCCTGATAGTTCCACTTGGCTTTTTCATTCTAACTGAACTCCCCTTGCAGCGTGTGTCCATCATTATTCATAACAATGAACTAACCGAAGTTCTAAGATTTACTTATGTGCTCAGTGTGGAATTCTGAAGTCGTCTGATTTTGGTATCCACAGTTTCAGGAAGATCCAAATTGAGACAATAATTTTTAGTTTTTTAAGGAGTGAAAGTTTGTCAAGAGTTAATAAGGAGCCTTCATACATAGGAGCAATGTTATTCTTGGCCTGGTTGAAGTGGTGTCTCCCAGGATTATAAAAGTGCAGCTTCTATACTGTACTCTTCTTTCCCATCCCCCTTTCTTATCCCATTCTATTCCCAAAGCCAGAAGGAAAAGTAGTGAGAAAACTAAAATGCAAAATTTAGTTCTTGCCTTAAAAAGGATAATAAACCACATTAGTAGCATATTTTTCTTTATATCGTAAAATTTTGTGCCATTTGTTGAATAATAGGAATTTATGCCTTCCAGAATTCTATGATAGCTATTCCCACCTTGGAAATGCTAAGCATTTGTGCAAGGCATGATAAGTTTTCAGTTACAAGATTTTATACATCTGTCCTTTAGGTGTCTGAAATAATTTTCTCTATGCTCTGTTATTCTTTGCAGTTGCCTGGTCGTACAGATAATGAGATAAAAAATTATTGGAATACCCGGATTAAGAGACGGCAACGTGCTGGTTTGCCTCTGTATCCTCCTGAAGTGAGCTTGCAAGCACTGCAGGAGAGCCACAGTACCAGTGCAGTTAATGGAGGGGGTAAAGCACCTCATGATATCTTGCAGAACAACAGCTATGAGATACCTGATGTCATATTTGACAGTTTAAAGGCCAATCAAAATGTCCTGCCTTATGTCCCTGAACTTCCTGTTATGTCCGCTAGCAGCATGCTGATGAAAGGTCTAGGTTCTTCTCAATATTGTAGTTTCATGCGACCAACAATCCATTGCCAGAAGCATCTTCAAGAATCGCCAGCCTTTTTCCCGGGTTATACTGGTGCTGTTAAAGATGAATGCCCTTTGTTTGAGCAGTTTCAAGATGATATGTCCGACAAGGCTGCTCGATCCTTTCGGTGGTCTTTTTCAATTGAACCAGATCCTGCAATGGAGACCTCTCAGTCATTTGGTGTATTCCCAGGCAGCCATGCCCTTTCAAAAGGCAATTTCTCTGCTTCAGAGCCCGCGTTGGAGGCTGTGAAGTTGGAGCTCCCTTCACTCCAATATCCAGAAACTGAATTAGGTAACTGGGGCACATTATCTTGCCCACCTACTTTACTTGAGTCTGTCGATGTTTTTATTCAGTCACCACCACCAACCAGCAGAGTAGAGTCTGATAGTCTTTCACCCCGTAATAGTGGCCTGCTGGATGCTTTACTTCATGAGGCAAAAACTCTAAGCAGCGCAAAGAATCATGCATCTGATAAGAGTTCGAATTCATCAACTCCTGTTGATATTGCTGAAAGTTCTAATTTCAACATTTGTGAGACAGAATGGGAAAACCGTGGTGAACCTCTTTCTCCAATGGGTCATTCAGCAACTTCTCTGTTCAGTGAGTGTATCAGTGCAAGTGGCAGTTCATTGGATGAACGGCCACCTGCTGAAACCTTTACTGGTGAGTACCTATCTGATCTGGACTTGTTAAGGCTGAGACATGATTTATACTTCTCAAGCATTGTCAAAAAATGAAAATTATCTTCCACCTTATTAAAATTTGATCTTTCTCATCAAGTGTCAATGTTGACTTATATCCCTTAGATTCCTGTGATGTTTAAACTATTTGAGATTGACAGAATTTACAAAAGCTATTTCTTACCCCAGTTATTGAGTCATTTGTCAAAAATCTTAGCATAATAACATTATCAATGTTTTTTATTTTTACTTTCCACCATCTTTTATATCAGCGAGTTCATTTTATTTTCTCCAGATATTTTGTGGTTGAACTAATGTTCCAAGTCTCCTGGAAGTGAGAATTTACATGCTTAAATTTTTTTCAATTGTTTTTCTAGAGTTTAGTAACTTGAATTTGGGTTATTTTCAGAGTCCCATGTGAAATCAGAAGCAGCTGACCATGTTTTGACACCAGAGATACAAAAAGAGGCTCCCATTCGGTTGGATGGTAGGTGCCCTGATACTTTACTTGCTTCAAATTGGCTTGAGCAGGGTTCTGGTTATGATAAGGACCAAACAATCATGACTGATGCCATAGCAACCCTTCTTGGAGACGATTTAAGTAGCGATATGGCAGCTGGAACATCTATTTCAAGTCAAGCATGGGGTCTCGATTCTTGTGCATGGAATAACATACCTGCTGTCTGTCAAATGTCTGAACTCCCTTGATATCTGCTATCTCAATTGTATGAACTTCTATGGAGCTTTTTGTTTGTTTCACTCGTTCCATAATTTGTTTGATGTGGGTAGTCAGGTGAACCTGATGTACTGAAGATCATTTGGGGTGAGACTATAATATGTTATGGAGTCATGGATGTTTGGTTTGTTGTTTTTGATGCTTTTCTGTTGAAGTGTTGAATGTGTGTATGCTAATACGGAACTACGAGGTATACAAATGCGTTCATGCTGTTGTTATAATTTTAGAATAACCATGCACTTTTAGAATGGAACCCCCAGTCCAATGATTTTCTTTTTGGTATAAATGAGGCCATAACCTGGAGATAGGGAAAGAAGTTATAGGTGTTAGGATTTGAATTCTAGATCTGTAAGATGCCTCCATTTAAGGGTGATTATATGAACCAAGTGAGCTAAACTCCGGATTCTTAGTCCAATGACTTTCCTATTTGATTCATGTGTCTTAACTGATGCTGATTTGTGGTAGGGCTGTCAATGATATGACTGTTGGAGGAAACACGTTGTTAATTTTTAGCCATATCTCAAAACTTTCCCCTGTTTTCATTCATATACAATCATCTTTGATAGATTGGTTTTTGATTGACTTTTTTGCTCGGGGTCAATTTATATGAACTTAATGGTTTTTCTAACCCTTTGTGTGAGGGAAGTTTTTGGCAGATGTATAGATGTTTAGCTACTTGCTTTAAGATTCATTTGTTTTGCACTTCCACTTATTGTTTTTACGTTGAGGGCTGTAACGTGTGATTTCAAGACAGGTTTTAAAATACATTACTTTGACAACGTTAGTTTTGAAAGAACATGATTTTGATGATTAAAATTACTTTTTAAGTTGAAACGTCCGAGATTGCACTATTGTTCCCAATGAAGGTTTATATTGAAAATTAGACATGATAATTCATGTGTTTGTTTTGTGTAAAACATGTCTAAAACATAAAATTTGTTGTGTTATAATTCGTATTAATGTAAAAATATGAAACATATTTTTAGTTATTATTAAATTCATATATATATATTTGTAAAAATTTTAAACTATTGTTTTTTTTTTTTTTTATCATTTTATCCTTGACAATATTATAGTTTTAATTTTGAATTCAAACCGTTATATTACAGTTTTTCTTTTATTTATAGACTGCGGTCCCCTGTTTAAAATGAAAACGATATTATAGTTTAAGTAGATAATTGACATCAAAGGCAAGAAAAACAAATTAATATCACTACTTGAGAAGGTGTGTTGAAATAAGTGTTAAACAAAACTAATAAAAATAAAACTTAGGGAAAAACAAAAAATTCCAAGAGCATTTGGTCCATGGAAATGGAACAAAAAAAGGTTGATCTTCTGTTTTCTGTTGACTTTGTGCAAGTTGAGATTTGTTTTACTTTGGGACTGTAACTTCCATGAGAAACAAACTGCAATATTTAGCATTGTGTTGTTTATAGTTCCGAATTCGATTCTTGTGAAGTATTTGATCATAATTATTTTTTTTAAAAAAATTAATTATTGCAGTTTTTTATATAATTGCAAAAGTTAGAATAATTTAAATTTTATAAAAAAATAAAATAAAATTATGCATTGGCATGAATTGTCATGTTTATTATTTTTTTTATCAAAGTATTATATTTGTTATGTTATCAAGGATATAATGATAAAAACACATGATTTAAATGACATAAATTCCTCCAATTAAACACAAAAAATATGAAAAACGAAATATTTTAAAAATCACATTTTTTTCTAAAAATTATATTTTTTCGAGTATTATATTTTTCCTCTGAAATCCAACATTTCTCGAACCAAACATCTTTTTAAGTACAAAGTTGGGGCTGGTCACAAGAATTCATTTCCAACTTTTAGCTCTATCAAATCCTTTTTTTTTTTTTTTTAACCTCAATCAATGTGATTTCCGATGTTTCTGTTATCTCTTGTCATCCTCTGTTTTTCAACCAAGTCACTCTTGCAATGTACTAAATGAACTCATGAGTTTGATGCACAGTTTCTTTGCTCACCTGTCAAGTACTAACCATGTTGCATGAAATCTTTTCACAGCTCTTGAAGCAACTACCTTTAAAGGAGAACCTGTTACCATCTCGATCCGAAATTCGAGAAGTCAAGATACTATCAGCAATATGATAAACAAGCCATACTACATTAAACACTTTAACTATATTATGGCCTATATGTAATCCACTTATGCAGTTCATTTCAGGTAGGGGCACCCATTTTTCTTCAGCCATGTCTGCATAAACATGTCAACTCATCAAGCGATCTCCTACAAGCAGTTAACAGAACTTTATCCATAAAGTCGAATATTTCGAGCAGATGTTTGTTAATACTTCATGTTTTGCAACCCTTTCTCTATCCCTAGTCTGTGGCTTAATTTTATTAAAAAAAAAAAACAAGAAAAATAGAAAGAACTCTCCAAAACTAAGTTTCTTCACATTGATATAATATGGCCCTAGAGTTTCTTTTGTTGTATGGAGAAGATAAAGCCTTGCCTTTGCTTATATACATTGATATTTTCTATGTTTGCTGCATTATCTAATTGCTATATCTGCTTGATGCCGACTTTTCAAGAGAAGTCAGGGATGGGTTATGATGAAATCAAAGACATCTAGGAGTCCTCTCCAAGAGAATAAATTTGGTGACTGTTACTAGCTTTGTCTGTGCCTAGCTGGACATGATTATTCAATGTAAAATACAACATATATGAAGCTGGCTCTAAAATTGTGTGATCATGTAGTTTATTTTGCAGCGGCCCCTTTTTCGGATTGCACAAATTAGCTTTATTCGTATTTGATACGTTAATACAAACTGTAATATAATAATTATTATATTTTATATGTATTTTATGCAAAATAAATACGATTCATATACACAAATCTTAATATGAAAAGAGGTAATTTCCAACATCTATACGATAACCTGAACCAAGGTGAGAGCAATTTATCTGTCCTCATTTTATGTACCAAAAAATTACCCTTGTTGATATATGCAAAGCATCATCCTGGTTAACTATTACAATTTTTATGAGAATATTATTTTGAACCTTTTTGTTTTTGCTTCAGAAAATTATTTCTATTTTTGTATGTGTGTGTCATGTCTTGCATCTATGTACATTCAGTAGACAAAATGTTAAACTCCAATGGCTAAAAAAAAGTAAACAATGAGAAGATAAAAATGGGGAAAGTTTTGGTTTAGACAAGAGAAAATATTTGTTCAGGTTCTGACAAATCTCAATAACCTTTGAACTTCAAAACGTTTTTAAACGCAAACACTTACATAATCTATTGATAAACTTTAAGTTTTAGATTCATCACAATTGGTTGTGAATTATTTATTTGTTTATAGATGTTTGTGATTCCATAATTTGTCTTTCTTCATAGCAACTATCCAATCATGTAAAAGTTGCAGAATCTCGTTTAATTGGATCCAAAAGTTACATATGTTCCTGGACAGCATTAATTTTGTTTTCTCTTAGCTTTCAGGTCAAAGGGTTTTTTTTTTTTTTTTTGTTTCCATTTTTATACAGAAGGAAATGTTCCTACTCCAACTTAAGATTTTTTTTTTCAAACATTTCATTCTAACTTTATTATTTTCTTTAGGATTTTTCTTTCTTTTTGATGCAAAAGAAATTGCATGTAAATTAAATTTAGTAATTTGAACACAAAACAATTGATACGATACAAGATGACATAACTTTAAATTAAAAATATAATATGAGTTTTATAAAAGATAAAAAATTATATTTTGTGTTTAACATGAAATGCGATATAATAATTTTCGTATTTTACAAATGTTTGAAATGAAATAGACACGATATGAATATATAAATTGTCAAAATTACTATTAATTGCAAGAACTTCTCTATTTGCCTTGTAAATTACCTAATTGAACCAACATCAAGACAGGAAATGTATAATCTTCCAAACCAGGCAAGGCAGCACCAATCATCCACATAGAACGAAGGCTCAAGAGAATGTAGGCTTTTAAACAGTCTTGTGAAGAAAGGTCAAAGAACTTCTCAATATAATGATGCTAATGACTTAAATGAACAAATATATAATAATATATCAAACACAAAACTGTCAAAGACAATTACCTATGGAATTAGTATCAAAACAATGATCGGAACCATAAAGCATTATAAAAAAAAAAATAGCAATTTCTAAATTATGGGTATTGACGCAGATACTGCTCCATACAAAATCTTGCAATGTTGCATGTTTATATCAATATATAAGCTACTTTATGCAAAAACATGAATTATACAAACCTTTAGAGCATCACAAGAGCCAGAGTGAAGGAACTAGGGAAAAAGGTTGGTTTTGTTGCACATATTTTGTAGCTCAAGCAAGTTCCTAGCTTCTAAGGAAAGAATTGAATATGAATGGAAGACACTAAGACAATTCCTCATGATGATTTATTACTTCTCAGCGCCAATAGTGTTAATCCAATAACTAAACTGTGTTTTTCTTGTTTCTGAAGTTCTCCTTCAATAATGCAAATTTCTTCTTGCATTGGTTGACAGTTTTCCCTGGCACAGCAGCTGCTACTCGTTCCCAACGCTGACTGGTTTCCTTTGGGAATGTCTTTAGAGCTTGAATTAGTGCTCCTTCTTGTACAGCAGACCATACATCTTGTTCTGAACTTGATGAAACCCCATTACCAGAAACCACATCAACAGGATTACTTGCACTTTTACCAGGGTCTTCAGGGCTAACTGTCTTCACAGCACTGCTTTCATTCCCTGAAGGTGTAGAAACCCCTTCTACTTCCTCCCTCGTGGAAAGTGGAGATGCAATAGACTGCACCGGTTTCCTCTTCTCAAGAAAAGAATCAAAAGCTTTCCTAGCATCAGGCTTCCAAAGGAGGACTGATTTGGTAGCCTTCAGAATTTCTTCCACAGATCTCCCTGTACCAATGTACTCTGAAATAACCTCCCACCTCTGAGATGTCCCTTTAGGATATTTCAGCCTTCCTTTTCTCAGAAGCTCAATCTCTTCCTAGGTCCAAGGTTTCTCCTTCTTCTCAAAGCTGCTCAACAGGACACTTCCATTAGACTCCACAGAACCATTCAACTGTGACCTGTTTGTTTCATCTAGTTTCTTCTCCTCCACATTGCCATTGCATCCACGTGCGTCTCTGATTATTTTAGCCAGCTCGAACCCTTCTTTTTTCTCCATCTTATCACATAAACTTCTAAGCTGCTCAATTCCAAGGGTCATACAAAGATTTTCTACATCATCCTCAGAAAGATTAAGCAAATGCTGGGATAAAGCAGGTGCAGAAAGTATTCGAAGGCGAGTTTGCTCTTTCCGAAGGAGCTTCTTCTCTTTCTCCTTCATTTTCTTATGCTGTAAAGCAGCTTCAGCAGCTTATTTCTCCTCCTCTTCTTTCTGGTGTCTCTCCTCTTCAGCAGCCCTAGCAGCTTCTTCCTCCTGCAACTGCTTTGCCCGAAACTTGGCTTCCTTTTTCCTCTGTTTCTCAGCTTTGTCCTCTTCCATTCTCCTAAGTATTCTCGGGTCTCTTTTATAAGCATTGTCAACAAGTGCATGTATCCGAGCATATTCCTCCTTCCTAGCCTTCTCAGATAATTTTGCATTCTGCCTCTCCATCCACCTTCTATGATCACGAGACTCAGCTTCTTCAAGGTCATACTCATCTGCATGTGGGAATTCCCTCCAGCTTTTAAAACTAGACCAAAAATTGTAGAAATCATCAACATCTTTTAGTGGTGTAATGTCATCGCCTAAAAATGGGATAGGTTGGTTCACCGACCATCGTCCATTCCTCAGGAAAGCAGGACCAAACACCTTGAAGAAGTCTTGTGGAGTACATTCAATAGAAATTTCATCATCAAACTCATCAGTGGAGTCATAGATTCTTCTCTTTACAGGATCAATCAAAATCTCATATGCTTCTTGAATGGACTTAAAGTGATTCTCTATTTCATCCTTCTTTGCTTATTTCGCAGCTTCAGTCTCCTCTGCAAGAAGAAGAGCTGCAAGTTTGTCAGGATGATGCCCCAAGGCAGCTTCATGGTAGCTTCTCCTTATCCGATCCTCAGTGGCAAGATATCTTAAATGGCTCAACCCCAACAATGCATAGTGATCTTGTTGGTTGCCATCAGTGGCAGATTTCATTTTTTCTTTGCTGCTATATGAATCAGATGATGGCATATATACTTGTTACTTATCATTAGAGACATTCTGATCATCAGCTTCTGCAGTATCATCCTCCTCACAACCAAGGAGTTTAAGAGCAGCATAATGAAAAGCATGGCCAGCAGGTTCATATTTTAAAGCCTTAACAGGAAGGCAATTTGAAGAAATATAGAGTGACTGTCCATCCACGAGCTCCTGAGAATAAGATATAAGCCGAATGCTTGTGTGGACTGCCATAATGCTTATGGTGGACACACAAAATCAAAAGGGATGAAAAATGCTGATACCGATCTCAGAATAGCTTTACTCTAGTCAGCACCTAGTTTGATAGAGTGTGTAACAATCTGCAAAATTACACACCTTCTGACTTCGTCCTGACCTGCAATCCCTTACCCTATCCTCAAGCAACTGTCTCCTTTGAAAAAAGAAAAAAAGAAAAAAAGAAAAAAAACTACACCAAAAGAAAAAACATTTGACAAAATAAGCTTAACCAAGGCATGTCTTTTATGAACTTTTTGCCCCTTAAAGAAAGATACACCTAGACCTAAGTATCACAGGTTTGCAGCTCAGTAAAAGTCCTCACTTAATGAATTGCAAGGAGGTTATTGATTGGTTATATTCATCTAACAATTTATTCGATTAACTTAGCAAGTCTCATGAAACAAATTCAAACAGAATCTTAAAACTCATCTACTAGAGAAACAAAGTTTAAATGCAAATAAGCTCATAGGGGAAGGAAATGGAGTGAAACAGCCATCCCTCTGTTTCCCTACAAAGCCATATTTTCCATCCTTCGAAGCAAGGGAAAGAAACACTTTCTAATCAATTATGATCAAGATTTCACTGCCAATTTTTATTCATTAAAAAAAGTTACAACCCATCCCTCTATTTCCCTACAAAAACCATTTTTCCATCCTTTCAAGCAAGGGAAAGAAACAGTTTTTAATCAATTATGATCAATATTTCACTGCCAATTTTCATTCATTAAAAAAAAGTTACAACAACTTTTTTCTTACAGGTTTGCAACTCAGTAAAAGTACTCACCTAATGGATTACAAGGAGGTTTTATTGATTTGTTATATTCATGTCAATGAAACGAACCTTAAAACTCATTTACTAATGAAACTAAGTTTAAGCATTAATAAGCTCATAGAGTAAGGAAATGAAGTAAAACGGACCATCCCTCCGTTCCCCAACAAAACCCATTTTTTCCATACTTCCAAGCTAGACCTGGTAATTTTAAACACGATATGATGGCACAATACAGAAACAATACAAAAAGAAAAACACAACAATTTAAAATTTTTGCAAAAACTGTATAGGGGAGTGTCTGACAACAACAAAAAAATCAACATGCTTGCTGTGTCACACGAATTTATCATGAAACGAAGCAGACATGATGCGAATATACGAATTGTCAAGTCTATTCTAAGCAAGGAAAAGAAACACGTTTTGATCAATTATGATCAAGATTTCACTGCCAATGTTCATTCATTAAAAAAATTACAACTACTTTTTTCTCACCTTTCCCTTTGATCATTTTTCATATTCAAACCATTTCTTCTCCTATTTTCCACAATCTAAGTTTTAAATTCAACTATTTGTTCTATTGCTTGCTTTTTTTTCCTTTAATAAAGTTCAAACACCAAAAAAAATCGAAAAAAAAAAACAAAAAAGGAAGAAAAAATAAAAGAAAAGAAAGCAAAGTAAAATTACAGAAAAGGAGAAAAAGAAAGGGTTACCTTGGCTTGGCCTGGCGCGGCGAGGGGCTATGGCGGTTTTGAGTAGGGGTAGTATTTTTTGATCCGAGAGTTAGACTCGTAGTAAAGAGGAAAAGGAGAAGAGACACAAAGGGTGTATGAGTCGGCTCGGCTGAGTTTGGAAGAAAACAAGGTCAGACGCTTGCGCTGAGCTGCGCTGGGTCTGGGTCATTTAAATTTTTTGCTTTTCTAAAACCCTAATTTTTAGCTTATTCACTATTGGGCCTATTTACTAAAAAAAATTCCATTTGCATCCTGTCTTTTTTATCAAAAAATCAGAGATAAGCTTTTTTTTTTTTTTTTTTCTGAAAATAAATAGGTTGTTCATTCTTTGGTAGCTTTCACGAGTCGTGTAAAAAAAAGAAAAAATTATTTAATTTTTAATAAAATATCAAACAGCTTTTATAATTTAAATTCAATATTTATTGAATTTAATATTAAAAATTCAGTATGTAATTTTAAATTTATAAAATAGAAATTTTTTAAAAAAATTATAAATATAATTAATTATTTTTTAACGACAAATATAAATTTATTTATTATAAATATTATTATTCTTTTTATTATTTGAATAAAATATTCTCTATATTTTTTAAACACAACCGTTACTGAAAATAACTGTGAAAGTGCGCGTCCCCCATTTCTTTACTAGGGTTTTGTATCAGAAGAAAGCATAAGGATCGCTGCTACTTTCAATTTCTGTCGCAAGCTGAACTATTTCTTTCTCTCTTTTTCTCTGTTTTTCCTTGTATAGATTTTCTCTTTGAAAGCATGGGAAAAAACGTCGTTTCTGATGAAGAAGGTGACACTTTTTTTTTTCCTTTTTTTAAGCGAAAATCAAATCCCTAACTCATTTTTTCGGCTAGCAAACCTTTCATTTTTTCTCAAAATTTCTCTTTTTTTTGGGTCCAAATGATGCAGATGAGTTGGAGGTCGACGAGGAAGGACAGCCCATTGAGGGAGACACACTCAATGACCGCGACCCTGATGACGACGATGAAGAAGACGGTATAACTTCTCTTTTCAAATCCAATTTCTCGTTCCAAAATGGGGGGAATAATTTTGTTAATTCTGAGTTCCTTTTTCGGTAAAATTTTCTTAGGGAAATAATGAAAAGGGAAATGAAATTAGGACTAAATGCCATGATGGGCTTTATTTTTTTTTTCCAATTTTGTTAATGGTTCTTGAATTCAATTGTATTAATTTATTTGTTTTTTTTATTGATTTGAACAGAAGGGCAAGATGAGTATGAGAATGACGGATTCATAGTTGATGATGTGGAAGATGAAGAAGTAGATGAAGATGAAGAGAGGGAAGATAGCGATGAGGAGAGGCGAAAGAAGAAGAAAAAAAGAAAAAAGAAGTTAATATTTTCCCTCTATGATGATACATTATTGCTACTTTTTTTTTTAAAGAAAACCTCATGTTATGTTCTCAGGTCGGAGAGGGTAGCTTAGAAATTTCTGATGTTGTTTATGTCTGTATTTTCAGGGAAGCTGAGGACCTTGACGAAGATGACTATGAGCTCCTCCGGGAAAATGATGTTAATGTACCAAAGGTTGTAAGCTTTGTGACCCTATACCTATACAGAAAATGTTTATTGCTAAGTTTCTCATTTGTCATTGATGTGGAGATTTTTATTCATTTATGAGGGTTTTTGTGTCTGTATTACTGCATTCTGTTTGGTTTGGTTTAGGTTGAGGGGAAAAAAAGAAAAACCAACTTAAGGCATTTGATTTTTTTTTTTTTTAATTTAAAAGCAAAAACTGAAGCTCATATGCTTAAAAACTACACCAAAATGGAACAACACATCATTGCATAGTTACTTGGTTTTTGGATTTCCAACACACCTTTTGGATTTTCAAAAACACAATGGTTCAATTGGATCTTTGTTTCCTATCTTCGTTTTCTTGCACAGCCCTATTAACAATATATTTGAGGTTTATGCTTTAAAATTTTTTCAGGGTAGCAAGAAATTTAAGCGGTTAAAAAAAGCTCAAAGAGATTTAGATGAGGAACGATTTGGGCTGTCTGATGATGAGTTTGATGGAAGCATGAAGGGTGGGACAACTGCTGAGGAAAAGCTTAAGCGTACCTTATTTGGTGATGATGATGGTTCGTGTATTGAACATATTGTCCATGATCATTATAACTTGAATTCAGTTTTCAATAGCTTGCTGATATATGTAATGTTTTAGGACCACCTCTTGAAGATATTCCTGAAGATGAAGACCAAATAGAGGAGGAAGAAGATGGAGATATGGGCGAAGAAGATGAAATGGCAGACTTTATTGTAGACGAAGAATATGAGCATGGAACTTCCGTTAGGTACAACCTATGTACTACAGGAATATGCCTTCTTTTTATATTTAATTTTGGAATTCTCTTCATTAAATAAATTGTTTTCTAGACGGAAGAAGATGAAGAATAAGAAGTCAAGGCAGGCATCAGGAGCTTCGCAATCTGCTTTAAAAGAAGCTCAAGATATATTTGGTGATGTTGATGAACTCCTTCTGCTACGCAAACAGGGCTTAGATTCTAATGAATGGAAAGAAAGGAGACTTGAAGATCAATTTGAACCCGCTGTTCTTTCTGAAAAGTATATGACAGAAAAGGATGACCAAATTCGGGTGAATGATATTCCAGAAAGAATGCAGGTTTGTTGATATGGTTCATGAAAATGTTCTTATTATTATTATTTTTTTATTTCCTTGATCTCTCTTAACATAAGTTGAGATTGATTTACATTTCTTTCTGTAGGTTTCTGAAGAAAGCACTGGCACTCCTCCAGCAGATGAAATGAGCATAATAGAAGAGAGCACCTGGATACACAACCAACTTATAAGTGGTGCTGTACCTTTATTTGGTAAAGAAAGGCAGAATCTTTCTATAAACAAGGATGACATCATGAGGTTTTTGGATCTAACACATGTGCAGAAGTTAGATGTTAGTACTTACTGATTTGATTGATCTAACACTTATATGTTGGTCTGGTTTCTTTTTTCTTAGTATTCTTGCATTCTTTCTTGCTTTCAGATTCCCTTTATTGCGATGTATCGCAAGGAGATGTGCCTAAGTCTGCTAAAAGATCCTGAGCAACATGAGGTTGATGATGTTGATCAGGATAATTCTGACAAAACATCTACAATAAAGTGGCACAGGGTAACTGGACTTGTCATGGAACTATAAAATTTGTTGATTGTCTATCAAATCAAGTTCATAAGTTAAGACAAAGGTTTTTCCTGTGAATAATGTCTACTATTCTTCTATTTAGGTACTTTGGGCAATTCAGAACCTGGACCGAAAATGGCTACTTCTTCAAAAGAGAAAGACTGGTCTCCAGTCACACTATAATAAGCGATTTGAAGAAGAATCTCGTCGGGTATATGATGAGACAAGACTTAACTTGAACCAACGGCTTTTTGAGTCGATTCTTAAAGATCTCAAGGATGCTGAGTCAGAAAGGGAAGTTGATGATGTTGATGCCAAGTTTAACTTGCATTTCCCGCCAGGGGAGGCTGGTGTGGATGAAGGTCAATATAAGAGGCCCAAGAGGAGATCACAATATAGTATTTGCAATAAGGCTGGCCTGTGGGAGGTTGCAAGCAAGTTCGGATACAGTGCTCAGCAACTAGGATCACAGCTATCTCTGGAAAAGCTGGTGAGTGTGCTTTGGTAGTTTCTGTTATATTCTTTTGAGATCTAATGTTCTTGCTTGATTTGATTGTAGGGTGATGAGTTGGAAGATGCTAAGGAGACACCGGAAGTGATGGCTTCAAACTTTACTTGTGCAATGTTTGAGACTCCACAAGCTGTCCTTAAAGGAGCCAGACATATGGTATACACTGTTATTCTTATAAGCAAATACTGTACTATTGTTGATCATAACATCTTGTTCTACCTGGCCTACTTTTTTATGGTTTTCTTTTCCTAGGCTGCGGTTGAGATAAGTTGTGAGCCATCTGTCAAGAAATATGTTCGTGGTTTCTATATAGAGAATGCTGTAGTATCAACCAGTCCTACTCCTGATGGAAAAATAGCCATAGATTCTTTCCATCAATTTGCAGGTGTGAAGTGGTTGCGTGAAAAACCATTGGGCAGATTTGAGGATGCACAGTGGCTCCTTATCCAGAAGGCTGAAGAGGAGAAGCTTCTTCAAGTAACTGTTAAGCTGCCAGAAAAATGTCTGAATGACTTGATTAAAGAATGTGATGACCTATATCTCAGTAATGGTGTTAGTAAATCTGCGCAACAATGGAATGAACAGAGGAAGCTGATACTGAGTGATGCTTTTTTTGGTTTTCTTTTGCCATCAATGGAGAAAGAAGCAAGATCCTTATTGGCTAGTGGAGCTAAGAACTGGTTACTTTTGGAATATGGCAAGGGTTTGTGGAATAAAGTTTCTGTTGGGCCTTATCAAAGGAAGGAAAATGATATAAATTCCGATGAGGAAGCTGCACCTCGAGTAATGGCTTGCTGTTGGGGCCCTGGGAAGCCTGCAACCACTTTTGTGATGCTAGATTCGTCTGGGGAGGTGCTTGATGTGCTTTACACTGATTCTCTTACATTACGGTCTCAAAATGTCAATGACCAGCAACGCAAGAAAAATGATCAGCAACGAGTTTTGAAGTTCATGACTGATCATCAACCACATGTTGTTGTTCTTGGAGCTGTGAATTTGTCTTGTACACGTTTGAAGGATGATATTTATGAGGTAAGGCTTATTATTGTTGAGATGTCAAGAATTTTTTTTCCTTTTTATTTAAGATGATATATGTCCTTGTTTTGTCTTTTGATTTTGTTTTCTTTGGTAAAACACAATTCTTGTTTTGTCAGCATCTGATCTTGTTTACTTTGTCTCTACTACTTGTTAGCTTGCAAATCTTTGCTTGAAATGTCTTAGTCTCAATTTTCTTAAAGCCTTCTCAATTTTCTTAAAGCCTTGAGGAGGCGGATTGCTTTTAATCAAGTCCGTGAATTGTTTTAGAATGTATGGTTTTTTTTTTTTTTTAACTAAAGATGGTTATTATTGTCATTAATTTCTCTTTCAATTAATTTTCTTATCTTCTAAAGGTACATCCTGGTCACAAGTGGCATAATGTTTTGGACTATCATAGTATGTGACTCGATTGAGTATCTGCTTCAGGATTCTGTTCTGCACGTGTTTCACATGTGGTACCCAGAATAAATTTCAGAATTTGTCCTCTAGGAAAGACTCGGATTACTTGCTGAAATTACTTGCTTCAATCATCCTGATTAATTATGATATTTAATGGAATTGTAGTTGTGTGCTAAGTGGATTTATTTTCATTACTCAATTGTTTTATATTGGTGGTCCTTTAATTCCTTGCGGTGTTTATTTAGTTTGTTCCATTGTTGCTGAATAATATTGTGATATCAAGCAGAATTGTCACTGTGCACTGAGAGAATGAATTTTCAATGTTCATTATGCTATGTTTCTTATATAGTTGGTCCTCCATTCTTTGTGCTGCTTATTTAGTTTATTTCTTCTTTACCAGATTATTTTTAAGATGGTGGAGGAAAATCCTAGAGATGTTGGGCATGAAATGGATGAGCTGAGCATTGTATATGGGGATGAATCTCTTCCCCGTCTCTATGAAAATTCTAGGATTTCATCAGATCAGCTACCTGGCCAGTCAGGTAAATAGATTTTCATATCAGAAAATTATGTGTGTATTTTGAACCTTTTTTAGGTATGCAAATTTTTATCCATCTTTATCTTTTGAATAAGATTCTTGTCCTTTATATAAATGTTGTCAGGCATTGTTAAGCGGGCCGTTGCACTTGGGCGTTATCTTCAAAATCCGTTGGCAATGGTTGCAACTTTATGTGGACCAGGGAAGGAGATATTGTCTTGGAGGCTTAGTCCTTTGGAGAACTTTCTCACGACAGATGAGAAGTATGGCATGGTTGAACAGGTTTTGGTTGATGTCACAAACCAGGTGGGCCTTGATGTTAATTTGGCTATAAGTCATGAATGGTTGTTTGCCCCTTTGCAATTCATTTCTGGTCTTGGGCCTCGAAAGGCAGCATCATTGCAAAGGTCATTGGTAAGAGTTGGAACAATTTTTACTCGGAAGGACCTTTTGACAACCCATGGACTTGGTAAGAAGGTGTTTGTCAATGCAGTAGGCTTTTTGCGTGTCCGTCGCAGTGGGCTTGCTGCCAACAGTAGCCAGTTCATTGATATGTTGGATGACACTAGAATACATCCAGAATCTTATCTTATTGCTCAAGAGTTGGCAAAAGATGTCTATGATGAGGATTTTAAAGGTGACATTGATGAAGAGGATGCATTGGAGATGGCAATAGAACATGTTAGGGACCGGCCTAGTTTGTTGAAAAGTCTTCGTCTTGATAACTATCTAGAAAGCAAGAAGCGTGAAAATAAGAGGGAGACCTTTTATGATATAAGAAGGGAATTAATTCAGGGCTTTCAGGATTGGCGTAAACAATATAAAGAACCAAGTCAAGATGAGGAGTTCTTCATGATTTCAGGTGAAACTGAGGATACCCTGGCAGAAGGTCGAATTGTGCAAGCTACAGTTCGCAGAGTGCAAGGTGGACGAGCTATCTGTGTACTTGAATCTGGATTGACTGGAATGATTATGAAAGAAGACTATGCAGATGATTCAAGAGATATTGTGGAGTTGTCTGATAGGCTGCATGAAGGTGACATCCTGACTTGCAAGATTAAATCAATTCAAAAGAATAGGTATCAGGTTTTCCTGGTTTGTAAAGATAGTGAGATGAGAAGCAACAGATACCAGCATGTCCAGAACCTTGATCCTTACTACCATGAGGAGCAAAGCAGTTTACAGAGTGAGCAAGAGAAAGCTCGTAAAGAGAAGGAGCTGGCAAAGAAGCATTTTAAGCCAAGGATGATTGTCCATCCACGCTTCCAAAATATTACTGCTGATGAAGCTATGGAGGTATGTTACAAGTAATGGAACTTTTTAACTTAGATTTAACTTAGATTGAATTTGAATTGAATTTATTATATAAAAAATTAACCTTTTTAGTGGTCATATATTATTTTTATAAGTTAAAAAGGAATAAACATCTGCTGTTCTTGTTTTCCTTATTCCACTCTGGCAAAAATATGATGTCAACCTTAGTCTATCTTACATGTGCAAAAAGAAGTTGATTAATCATGAATGGCCATGTTTAATATAAATTTACATTTTGTTAGAAGAAAATGTCTATTAAATGTGCTATCCATTGCCTTTAAGAATTTTCAAGATGCTTTTTTCTTTCTTAATATGAACATCAGATATGAGAAGTTCACCTTTCATATAATGATATGGTGCATCACAGGGAAGGGAAAGAGACAACAGAGATAGTGAAATCCTAGAGACGGGGTAAAGGGGAGGAAATTGTTCAAACTAAGAGGGTGGGGGGAAATGGAAATGGCGGAAGGTAAAGAGAGAAGCAAGGGGAAAATCTCTGTTCTCAATTTATCATCAACCTATAAACTACTGAGTAAATAAGATTGAAATGGTACAAAAGATAGGAAAAGGAGCAGAAACAAGGGTAAGTAATAGCCCGGTGTTTGATGAACATGCATTGGTAAATAAGCAAAACTAGTGCTTGTAAGCCGAGATACCTGAAATATATAAAAATTAATATCAAGCCCATAGAATATAGAAAATTAACAAAACACATGCCTAAATGACTTAATCAGGCAGCTTTTAGGTGTTTATTATCCAAGCCAGTTTGTGATTGCTTCAATGCATGGCTGTTCTTTCTTTCTTATTTTCAATTTTGCACAAGCTCATTTCGTTTTTCTTTTTTAAATTAATGGCTAACTATATTTTGGCTTTTATTATTATTATTATTATTTTGCGTTGGACAGTATTTATCTGACAAGGATCCTGGAGAAAGTATTATCCGTCCCAGTTCGCGTGGGCCTTCTTATTTAACTTTAACTCTCAAAGTTTATGATGGAGTTTACGCTCACAAAGATATAGTTGAAGGTGGAAAAGAACACAAGGACATCACCAGCCTGCTTCGCATCGGGAAGACATTGAAAATTGGGGAAGACACTTTTGAGGATTTGGATGAGGTAAGTCTTTTTAATCCTTGTTTCCAGGGTTTTCCTGATAAACCCCTTTAAACTTGTAAAAGGATATGAATTGAGTGTAATAACCACATAGGCATAGTGCTGCATGGAGAGTCACAGTTAATTGTGCGAGCAGACTTCTCCACTTGGAAAAACAATGACTGATCGTAAACTGAAGGATGATTTTTGAAGTAGACCCTAAGAGCACAAAAATTGAATATTTATTGTTATCATCATACAAGAAATCTGTTTGTCCATGCTTTAAATCTTGAGGACTTCCATTAGAAGATTCTAGTCTTTGATTCTATTATTGTTTTTGCATAGGCAAGAGTCATGGTTGGCCCCCTTGTCAAAAAAATTGATATGTGTTAACTTTCAAGCTCTCTTTAGTGAGATTAATATGTCTTTCTTTGGGAATAATTTTGTCTATGATTTTAAGAATTATGTGATTTGCATGATCTTGACTGGTTAGCATATTTAAAACTTTCAAACATACAACTTTAATTGGATTTACATGTTTATCTAATTTGCAGGACTTCTCTTACCATTCCTCTCGAAGTTTTTTTTTTTTTTTTCTTCTGATTCTTCTAAGGCCTTGAAGGTTGAATAATGCTTTGTATATCTAATTCGCAGGACTTCTCTTATCATTCCCCTTGAAGCAATTTTTTTTTCCTGATTCTTCTAAGTACTTGAAGGTTGAATACTGCTGTGTCATGCATCATTTTGATAAAAATGAGCTAATTAATCCTTATCTATTATCTTTGAATGCCAAAGTCTCCTAATTTAGTAAAACTTATGAGAGTAATAATCCATAGCAATCAAAATCTGTTTTTACATTTTGAAGAAATAGTTGCTACATTCATCTTATTGAAGTTAGCATAATAAATTATGTTGTGGAGGCATAAAAATCCATGTAATGGATGTGTCTGTTGATTTCATTTAAATTGCAGGTAATGGATCGATATGTTGATCCCCTTGTGTCTCATCTAAAGGCAATGCTGAGTTATCGTAAGTTCAGGCAGGGAACTAAAACAGAGATTGATGAGCTTCTAAGGATTGAGAAATCAGAGTATCCTATGAGGATTGTGTATTGTTTTGGCATTTCTCATGAACATCCGGGCACTTTCATTCTTACTTATATAAGGAGTACAAATCCACATCATGAGTATATTGGCTTATATCCCAAGGGATTCAAGTTCAGAAAAAGGATGTTTGAGGACATTGATCGTCTGGTTGCATATTTCCAGAGGCATATTGATGATCCACAGAATGAGTCAGCTCCATCAATTAGATCAGTTGCAGCAATGGTACCGATGCGGAGCCCTGCTGCTGGAGGCTCTGCAGGGGCATCTATGGGTAGTGGTTGGGGTGGTTCAAACAATGAAGGTGGTTGGAGAGGCCAGTCTTTTGACAGGGGTCAATCATCCACTCCAGGGTCAAGAACAGGTGAACATTGAAACATCCAATTTTTATATCGTGTACAACATCTGTAGGATATTGTAAATCTCAGCATTTAGTTCTTTAACATCTGGAGAACGGTCTGGTTTTGGTGTTTTGATGACTTTGATTGCATTAGATTTTTTATCTTCTATTATTTCTTTGTGATTTCGTGCTGTAGATGTTTGTAAATACATATTTTTACTTTTGACTAATTATGTAGCTTTTGTTGATTTTTTGTCATTTGTTTGTAAATACATAAATGAAGTTCATTATTGGCAGAAAGTTGGGAATAATTGTCCAAACATTCTGGATACTGCTCCTTTCTTTTTGTTTATGCGTTTTGTGACTTCAAGTGCTTTTCTGCTTGGGTAGCTTGTTGGCTCTTTTTGTCTAATTTGTAGCTGGTTTGTTTGGTATTATAGGTAGAAATGATTACAGAAATAGCAGTAGCCGAGATGGGCATCCGAGTGGTGTACCACGGCCATATGGTGGGCGTGGACGTGGTAGGGGCTCATATAACAGCAGCAGAGGACATAACGAGGGGCAGGATTCATCTTATGATAATGATACTCCCAAATGGGATTCAGGTACCAAGAAAGGGGATGATGGTTGGGGTAATTTCCCGGGTGCTAAAGTTCAAAACTCTCCAGGTAAGGAAGCTTTCCCTGGTGGGTGGGGCGCTGGTGGAACTGAAAGTGGAAGTGGAACTGGCAGTGGTTGGGGCCAAGCAAGTGGTGGTACTGACAATGGTGGTTCTGGCTGGGGATCTGTTCCCAAGGGCAGTAGTTCTGGTGGCTGGTGAAGCCTATATCTCTAGAGTTTAGTTAGTAGCCTGTCGTCCATATTCACTCTTGGAATTATTACATTGCTGACTAATCAAATGATCATATTAGTTCTGCACATGTAGTGTCTAAATTTTATTTTTAGATTCAGCGAAGTTGATATCTAACATCGACTTATGCCATGTTTGATAGGATGGGTGAAAATTTTTTAAATTTAACGGTCATTATTTGTTCTTTTGTAGTTTGTTGATGGTAATTCCGATTAAGATGATTAATATACGGGTGATAATAATTCGAATCGGATTTAATTCAAATTTTTTTAAATATTATATAATATTATAAAATTTTAAAATTTGATTCAAATTCGAATCAAAATCAATTTGAATTAAATTTTATCAGAATGATTTATTGGGTTTTAAATTTTAAATTTATATATATTATTTTAATATATCTAAATAAATTTAGATATAAAATTATTATTTTTATTTATAAAAATTTAAAATATATATATGAAAATTAATATAAATATATAAATTAGATTGATTTTAATTTTTAATTTTTTATATTTTATTTAAATTTAATATATATTTAATATTAAAATTTAATTCAAATTAAATAAAAAAATTTAATTAAAATTGAGTCGAATATTATGATTTTGAATAGATTTTTTATTATCTCGATTTTTCTTTTTTTATCACCTCTATTTGAAAGGATGTTAGTGATTGACCGGCGAGAAAAAAAAAAAAGTCAGGGAGCGGCGAAGGTGAGAGTTCGGGGATGTTCTAACGTTTCAGATGAGTCATCTTCCAGCGAGGCACCAGTTATTCTCACTGGAATTGCCATCAACATCATTCAATCATTAAATTAAATTTTTATTAAAAATTTTGCTGTGCATTTATGATAAAGCAAGAAAAAAAGTTGAATTAAAAATCAGTAGCGTGTACTCAAATGAAATAGAAAGAATAGGTATCATAGAATTAAGAAAGATGAACATAATTAAAGATAAAAATTTGTAACAACTCTAGTTTAACTATCGAATTAATAAATTTTTTATCCTTATTTTTTTGTTTTTTCTATCAAATAAAGTTTTAAAGTTATAAAATTAAAAAAAAAAAAACTTAGATTTTGTTTGGTAGAAAGTATAGAAAGGATTAAGAATGAAAAATTTATTGATTTAATTGTTAAGATACCAAAAAAAAATGTAGTTATTAATTTTAATTATTAAGTTAATAATTTTTCTATTTTGTCCTTTTTCATCTTTTTAACTAAACAATCAAAGTTGTAATGTAAACATACATGGATCCATCCTTTAATAAAACTATCTATCAATTTAATACTTAATGTTTGCTTGTAATTTTAATCTTAATTTTTATTAATTTTATTTTAATATTAATAAAATTAAAAATATAATAATAAAATTCAATATTAAATCAAGATATTTATCAAATCTCACTGTTCTTAAGTTAACGAGGTAAGTTTTTTTTAATAAAAATAAAAAAGGTTAAATATAAAAATAGCTTATGTGTTATATACTTTCTATCAATTCGCTATTTAAAAAAATAATTTGGTAATTAAAATTTTTTTTCGTTATCACTTTAATACTATGAACTAATGTTATTAGTTAATTTATTGATATATCTTTAACATCCAATAAAATGTTGATATGTATCAAAAAATCTAATTAATATTACATATCAATTGTTACGTCATATTAAATAAAAATTTCAAAAAAATTTTTAAAAAATTCATAAAATTTGAAAATATTTTAAAATTTTTAAAAATTTACAAAAAATAAAAAATTTTAATTTTAATAAAAATCTAAAAAATTCAAAAAAATAAAAATTTTATAAAATATATAAAAATTAAAAATTTCAGATTAAAAATAAAAAAATTCATAGTTTTTTTAAAAAAATTTACAATTTTTTAAAAATTTTGCAATTTTTTTTGAATTTTCAAAATTTTGTTTGAATTTTTTGTGATTTTTATTAAAATTTTGAGATTTTTTTTAAAATTTTTTTGTTTCCTTAATTTTTAAAATATATTTTTAAATATTTTAGTTTTTTATTTTTATAAGGTTTTTAAAAATATTTAGATTACTCAAAAAAATTTTAAAAATTTTAAAAAAATTTTGTGAATTTAAAAAAAAAAAATTTAATAATTACATAATAATTAATGATATAGTTTAACTGAATTTTTTTAATGTGTGTCAATATTTTATTAAATATTTACGTTATATGAGTAAGTTAATTGATAATGTTAGTCTCAAGTAAAAAAATATATGATAAAATGAAAATTAAAGTACTAAATTGATAATTTTAATTTTTTAAATATTAAACTGATAAAAGAATGTATAATGTTTAATCCAAAATAAAATTCTTTCGGAGAAATCACATTGGGTCGGGTTTTGAAATCAGTCGGGTTATGGCGGGTTGGTTTTTCCAATTTGATAAAAACCCTTGATTTCCATTTCCTCTGATGTGGTGAGATTTCCTTCTCCAGCTGTTTAAACTCCAACCAAAAATGGCTAAAATACCTTTGAGAAATCTGCTTTCTCTAATCCAAAAACGATTCCTTCAACCCAACCCAAGCCAACCCCTTCTTCTGCTTCAAAACCGCCACCTTTAAAACCGATCTTTGACCCTCCCCAAACAGCTCCCCAAAATCCGCATCCGTCCTCAATTGTTTAAAATCTTATGGATTCGAGAATACCCAAATCGCCATATTGGTTCAAAAACACCCTAAAATCCTCAATTGCAGAGTTAACACTAAGCTCAAGCCCAAGCTTGAATATTTCATCCAAAAGGGTTTTATAGGTAAGCTTTTGCCTGAACTCGTTCTGTCGAATCCTTTGATTCTTTTTCGAAGCTTAGATTCTCATATTAAGCCATCTTTTGAGTTTTTATCCCCTTTTCTGAATGGTGAGGAACTGTTGGTTGTTTTTAAACGATCATCTTCGTGGTTGTTGACTTTAAATCTGAACACCATTTTGCAACCAAATGTTGATTTGCTGATTAGTGAAGGAATTTGTTCTAGTAGGATATCGAAATTGTTGGTATCACAGCCAAGAGCTCTCTTGCAAAGCCATGACAGAATGGTTTACGCGGTTAAAACTGTTAAAGAAATAGGTCTTGAACAAAAACAGCTTAGGTTTATACATGCACTTAGGGTGATTTGTTCAATGAGCAAGTCGAATTGGACAAAAAAAGTGGAGGCTTTTATGAGTTTGGAATAGAGTAAGGAGGAAGTATTTAATACTTTTAGGAAAAATCCTGTGTGTTTAGCTTGTTCCGAGAAGAAAATTAGGTATTTGATGGATTTTTATGTGAATACTATGAAGCTGGATGTGAAGACTATCATTGCGTGCCTGACATTGCTTAGGTATTCAATGGATAAAAGGATTATTGCGAGGTAAAACGTTTTGAAGGTTTTGGAGTCGATGAAGCCGATCAAAGAGGACAAGAAGATCGTTTGGGTAATAACACTGTCTGAAAGGAGATTTTTGGAAGAATATATTACTAAGCATAAGGACAAAGTTCCAGGTTTGTTGGATATGTATTACTACTTTATAGTTTTTTCACAACAATAATAAAATGCATATAATGTAACATGAAGTCAATGAATGATGTAAATATAAATTAAAAGATACAAATGACCAATTTGATTTACCTTATAAATCTACTATTTTATCTCTTTTTATTTCTTCATGATTATTTAAAAAAGAAACATGTAGTGATAAAATAAAAATCGTTTTGTGTTGAAAAAATTTTTAATTCCCCAATATTATGCGGAATTTAAGAAAAGTAATTGTTCACTTAAGAAATTGTCATAATTAATTATGATAAAGATAAAAATGATATTCTTTAGTACAAATAATGATTTAAATTTTCTCTAATATCAAGGTAGGGTCTCCAAAATTATTTTCTTAAAAATATTATTCAATTTTTTCTAAAAGATTTTTTTTTGAAATTGTTATTTTACCATTTCATATTTATTATTAATACATAAAATGCATATATGACAATATGACATAAATTAAATGATGCATGTAATTATATTCTTTTCTAAATAGGTTTTATTTGGATGAAAATGATATTTTTGGTATTAGAAGTATTTTCATTTATATTTTCTAACTCCTCAATATCTAGGTAAAATTAAAAAAAACTTGATCTTTCACTTGAGTGATTCACATAAATATTTTTTAAAACAAAGACAATATTCTTTTCAAAAAATAATTATTTGAATTATCTTTAATATTTAGGTAGGATTTTTAAAATTATATTTTTTCATGAAAATATTATTCTATTTTTATTTCTAAAACCTCTTTCCCTAGTCATCCACAACAAATTTATTTTCAAAAATATTTGATACTAAATAAAAATTAAAAATGTATGAAAACAAAGTAAAATAAAATAGGAAGAGATTGTACTAAACAAATTTTTTGGGGTTAAACTCTAGGTGGATCAAAGCAAGAGGTTTGGCTAAATCTAATGGACTTTTAAGTCAGGCTCAATTTGGTTAGGTCCATTGAAAATGGGTCAAGAGGTGTTTTTTTAAAATTTATATATTTTTTATTTTCTTAAAACGACAATTAAAACCAACATTTTTTGCCTACTCATTTCCTTACTTTCACCAAAATAAAAAAATTTAAACCCTTTCTTTTAAGGCCATTTTCAATCCTCGGCATCGCCGTCCAACGTCATTTTTTCTCAAAATTTCACTACAAAGCTCTCTTTAACTTCTTGATCACCATTCCAAGATCGAATTTTCCAAAATCAACCCTTAAAACAGTAGATTTGAGAATGAAACCTAAAACTTCTAGTGGTTAAAAATATCCTTTGCCATTGCCCAAATTGCCTGAAACCTAGATAGGTACTATTTTCTTCCTCCTCTTACTTTTCTACAGTTTTGATTTCCCTAAACTCATCTTACATATTCAACTGCCATCCTTGTTGTCACTGACAGTGGCATTTCTTCTCATTTTTTTTCTAACCTAAACTTGAAAAGAACCCTCCTAAAATGAAACTCTTTCAAAATCGAAAATAAACCTAAACTTATAACCCATTCCCATTTTTAGATTTTGATATTTTTGTTGTTGTTTCAAATTTTTTGTTGTTGTTATTTTGGTTTTAATTTTTTTTGTTGTGTAATGATTGTGTTGGGTTTATTTATGTTAGGGTATTGGAGGATGTTTTGAGTCAATAGGTTGAGGCTATAAAAGTTGTGAGTGATGATTTATTTTATGATAAGTTGACTCACGGTGGTGGGAAGGGCTTTTATGATAAAGCCTAAAGGGTGTAATGGCAATTTGGTGTACTGATGATAGAGTTTGGGTTTGGGGTCTCAATTAGAAGTATGAATGGGTTTTTGTGAATTGAGTTGTTGATATGTTTGGGATAGTAAGGTTGGTTGCCATGAGCCAAAAGGCAATATATACATATCTTCCTATCTAAACGTCCATATCCTAAAAACATAACATACATATCCTAATTCAATATATACATATCACTTGTCTCCAAAATCTACACCTTATAAATTATAAATATTTACCTTTTATTTATTTTTCTAATTAATTGAGAACAACTTTATCAAAGAACCAAGCCAAATATGCACACTTGCCTTTTTATTATTTTTGTCCTTTTTTTATTTGTAATTTTTTTTTCTTTTAAAAAGCTATTAAAAACATAAAAACACCGTTGAAACTAATATATCAAAAAGATCACTCTAAATATGATATCTAAAACCATTGAAAATAATATAAATAATAATTTAACATAAAACAATTAAAATCATGATATTTTTCAAATTTATTTGCAGAATCAACATAAATAATAATTTAACAACAAAATCAAATACACATAATGAAGAGTGATATAAAAGACAGAGGAAAGAGACCCTAACTTTAATAAGCTGATGCAATTTAAATAGAGAAAAATTGATGAAAACAAAAACTTTAAACCCTTCAATTTCAATCTTGTATAGATAGAACAGTTGAAAAGAGAAGGAAATTGAAAAGCAAAATAAATAAATTGGACGAAGAGTAAAGGAAGAGGATGGACAAAAGGTAAGAAAGATGAACGGACGTAAAAGGTTTATGTTCTTAAGAGAAAGAAATTTTCACGTTAGAGAAGTAAGAAAAAATAAAGAGATTTTATTTTTTTTATTTGATTAATAAAGGTAATACAGTAATTTTAATTTTCTTATTATCAAATTCAAATTCGGTAATTTTCTTTTGAGTAGTTTTTTTATTAGATCAAAATGTTAATATTCTTATTATATATTTTAAATCCCCTGTTTTCTTAAGTTCGACTTGAATATGGCAAAACATTTTTCAATAAAAAATAACATTTAAGTTGCCGATTCTTGTGGGTAAATCAAACTGGGTCGGGTTTTGAAATTAGTCGGGTTACGGCGGTTGGTTTTTCCAATTTCAGAAAAACCCTGGATTTCGATTTCCTGTGGTTTGGGGAGTTCCTTCTGCGGCTGCTTAAACTCAACAAAAAATGGCTAAAATCCCTCTGAGAAATCTGCTTTCTCTAACCCAAAAACGCTTCATTCAACGGAACCCAGCCCCTTCTTCTGCTTCAAAACCGCCTCCTTTAAAATCCGCTCTTTCACCCTTCCCAAAAAGCTCTCCAAAATCCAAGTCCGTCCTCAACTGTTTGAAATCTTATGGATTCGAGAATACCCAAATCGCCATATTGGTTCAAAAACACCCTAAAATCCTCAATTGCAGAGTTAACACAAAGCTCAAGCCCAAGCTTGAATATCTCATCCAAAAGGGTTTTATGGGTAAGCTTTTGCCTGAACTCGTTGTGTCGAATCCTTTGATTCTCTTTCGAAGCTTGGATTCTCTTATCAAGTCATCTTTTGAGTTTTTATCCCCTTTTCTGAATGGTGAGGAACTGTTGGTTGCTATTAAACGATCTTCGTGGTTAGTGACTTTAAATTGGAATACTATTTTACAACCAAATGTTGATTTTCTGATTAGAGAAGGGATTTCTGCTAGTAGGATATCGAAATTGTTGGTATCACAGCCTAGAGTTCTCTTGCAAAGCCATGACAGAATAGTTTACGCGGTTAAAACTGTTAAAGAAATAGGTCTTGAACCAAAACAGCTTATGTTTATACATGCTCTTAGGGTGATTTGTTCGATGAGCAAGTCGAATTGGATGAAAAAAGTGGAGGCTTTTATGAGTTTGGGATGGAGTAAGGAGGAAGTGTTGAATAGTTTTAGGAAAGATCCTTTTTCTTTAGCTTGTTCTGAGAAAAAACTTAGGTATTTGATGGATTTTTATGTGAACACTATGAAGCTGGATTTAAAGACTATCATTGCACACCCGAAATTGCTTCTCTATTCAGTCGATAAAAGGATTATTGCGAGGTATAAAGTTTTGAAGGTTTTGGAGTCGATGAAGCTGATCAAAGAGGATAAGAAGATTGTTTGGGTAATAACACTAACTGAAAAGAAATTTTTGGAGGAATATATTACTAAGCATAAGGACAAAGTTCCAGGTTTGTCGGATATGTACCAGCATGCGGCTAAGCAAAGAAAAACTACCAATGGCAAGAATGAGAAATTTGATCCCAAATCAGCAAGTTTGACCCCTGTATTGTAGATCATAATCTACCTAGACATTCCTTTTGACTGGTTCCTAATGTACTATGGCTCTGTCAGTTTGATCGCTTAATATCATCTCTGTGGCCATTAGCTTTTTATTTTTCTTGATAGTAGTTTGCCTAAGGTCATTTTATTTTGTTTTTTGATTATAATCCATCTACAGGCAACTCTTTGCTTTATTTTTAAATCTTGCTTTGAGTGGAATTCCTTTGGCTAATCCTTGATAACTTGAAAAACCCATAATAGTTAGCTTCATATCTTACTGGGATTGAGATGAATTATGTTTAGGAATAGAACTTTTATTTTGAGATAACTTAAGTCTTGTTTAGCTTCATAGTATTTCTCACTTTTGCAAATTTTCATTCTTTACTCAAAAGTGTCTTTTGATGAGATACATATTCGTTTTTCATTTTTCAGTGTCGGAAGCCTGCGATTTCCAGTTTTCTAGCAGATTGGGAAACTCTTAACCAAAATGATTCCAGTTCTTCTTCTGAAAGAATGGAAAAGAATCCATTTTTTATTCTTATAAGTGGTGTCAGATCGAAAATCTTAATCTCCTCTGTACTATTTATTAAAATGACTCGTCTTCTGTACTAAGCTAGTGACTGTATTGTTGCTCTGTCTTGAAATTTAAGACAGGGAAAGACAAGTCTAGTGTTTCCATCGCTTGAAAATCCTGGATGTTAAATGAACTAACTCGGATTCCCCCTGTTCAACGAGCAAATCAGCTATGTCCGTGAAGCAAGCTGTTTTTAACTTATTATTATGCTCTGGTTGTCTGCACTTCAGGCCTTTGAAGTTGTTTTTCTTCTATTTTTATCCACTTACCTTAATAGTTTTAATGAAGTTTTTCTAGAGATGCTTCATCTTCTCTTTGATTAACTCCAGAGATGTTTTGTTTTTATCATTCTAAATATTCTATTATGGGTTTTGTATCCAAGGGAGCGAATCATTTTCTTTTCTTTTTTTTTTTTTTGAAATAAAAACCAAAACAAATAGAAATCTAAGGTAATTAATCTGAAACAAGAGAAACTTTGTTGCTATTTAAGCTATTGTTTTCTTCTTGGTGTGCCTTTGTTAATATATTAGTTTCAGATGGCCCAGCTGGAAATGAATTAATGTTGTAAAACATTTTAATTCCGTTCCCAGACAACAGATGTCAATCTTTCAGGGCCAGAATTGGCGTTCCCTTGTAAAAGCACTGTAAAACTAGTGACCTTTGGCCTTGCTAAGCGCAGGCATTGGTGTTTGGCTGCTCTAGGAAAAATACTGTAAAACTATGAAAGAATTGACAGTGAAGATTGAGATTTTTGAGCCAAGGCTTTATTTTATTGAACAATGGTGATTTTGGAGCCGGGATGCTAGCCAAACTAGACCAGACGAGACCAGGCTAGGTGTCATGAGCCACCCCTGTATAGGGCCATGACCGGGACTTAGGTTGCCATGAGCCACCCATGTATAGGGCCATGGTCGAGTAGATCCCTTGTGCTAGGAAAAGTGTCTCCATTTCAAACATTGTAACGGTTACTGGTAGCATAGCTCTAAAAGCTCTAAGGTTCTTTAGGGGGGGGTGAGCCGGCAACGTAGTGTTGAGCTATCTCACCGGGTGCTATGCGAGCTTAGGCCACCCACCAAGGGCTGCCCCCTAGCCCTGGTGATGGTGGGAGGTCCCGATGTATGATTCCCGTTTATAATAAAATTCCTCGATTGAATGCCCGATTGTTGCCTCGATGCGTTTCTTTGTTTCTCAATGTGAATGTACTTTGTTGTGTGTGTATGCTTGAGATTGTCCTCGATATATTGTGTCTTATTGTGAATGCTTGAGACTAACCAAGGTTTATGGTTATTTGTTCAGATATCGATATATTGAAGGCTGACTTCGGTGGAAGCGTCCATTCAAGTGCCGCACGGGCTAGTGCTTGTTGAGAGAAAGCTTAGTCCGTGACACGTGGTATCAGAGCACGGTTGAGAAGTGCTAGAAAATGGATGAGATGGCCACAAGTGGTGGACCTGATCATCAACAGAGAATCGAAGAACTTGAGGCCGCGGTGGCCGCAATGAAAACTCACATGGCAACTAAAGATCGAGTGAGGGAGATCGAGACAACCCAGCGGGAGTTGTCCGATACTCTCCACAATGTGAGCGAGGAGGCTAGAGATGCCTTGAATATTCTCCAGAAGGAGTTTGAAGAGCTCAAAGCACAGGTGAGCATCTTACAACTGGCTGTGGTCAGGTCAGGTTCGAGCTCGATGGATAGGGGGAGAATGCCTAAGGTGCCGGAGCCTCGATGTTATGAGGGGGCAAGGGATGCCAAGGAACTTGAAAATTTCTTGTTTGACATGGAGCAGTACTTTCGGGCGGTGCACACGGATTCAGAAGAAGACAAGGTAACAATGGCATCGATGTACCTTGCAGGGGATGCCAAGCTGTGGTGGCGTTCCAAGTTTGTCAATGATGAGTGCTCGATTAAAACTTGGACGGACCTGAGGCAGGAACTGAAAAACCAGTTTTTCCCTGAGAACGTGGAGTATATGGCTCGAAAGAGACTTCGAGAGTTGGTACAAACAGGGACAATGCGAGAGTTTGTGAGGAGCTTCTCTACCCTGATGCTGGATATCCGAGACATGTTCGAGAAGGACAAGATGTTTTATTTTCTTGAGGGCCTCAAGCCTTGGGCCAGAGCAGAACTACAAAGACAAAAAGTGCAAGACGTGGCCATGGCCATGGCTGCAGCTGAACGTCTCCAAGACTATAACGATGGCTCCTTAAAACAGAAAAATCTTTCACCAGCTGGTAGTAGCTTCAACTTTGGGAGTGGGGGGAAGATGACCAGATTGGACCGTCCCTTCAGTGGGGGATCAGATAGAAGGCCTTTCGATCGAGATAGCACCCAACCCAAAACAAACAGTGCTGTGACTTTCAGGCCTAGGCAACTGCTAGCTTGCTTTCTTTGCAATGGGCCGCATCGGGTGGCCGAATGCCCTTATAGATGAGCCCTTAACGCTTTAAGGACCTCATTTCAAGAGTCTGCAAAAGCATCGGAGAGCGTGGAAGAGATCGAAGAGGAACCAGCCAGGATGGGCTCAATAAGGTTCCTCAATGCCCTTCATACCCAAGTGAACACTATAAGGAAAGAGCAAAGTAGGGGCTTGATGTATGTGAATCTAATGATCAATGAGAAGGCCACCAAGGCCATGGTCGATACAGGTGCAACCGATACTTTCATCACACCAGAAGAAGCGAAAATGTGTGGCCTCCAGGTTAACAAAGATTATGGACGAATGAAGGCGGTCAATTCGTCGGCCTTTGCGATCAGTGGATCTTCCAAGGGTGTGACAACTAAATTAGGGCCATGGGAAGGGAAGGTAGACTTCACAGTCTCCCCTATGGATGACTTTGATGTCGTTCTCGGATTGGACTTCATGATGTTGGCTCAGGTGATCCCTATCCCCGCTGCTAGCTGCTTGTTGTTTTTAGGGGAACACCCATGTGTGGTGCCAGCCAATATCTTGCCAAAGAGTGGGAAGAAAATAATTTCGACTCTGCAATTCAAGAAAGGGGTAAAGAGAGGGGAACCTTCTTTTGTGGCCATGCCGATCTACAAAGAAGGGTCGAAAGTAGAACCAATACCCGATGGTGTGAAGAGAGTGTTGAAAGAATTCGAAGAGGTGATGCCAGAGATGTTGCCTAAAGTTCTACCCTCTCGACGAGTAGTGGACCACGAAATTGAGCTCCTCCCAGGAACAAAACCCCCTGCTAGAGCTCCCTATCGCATGGCCCCGTCAGAGTTGACCGAGCTGAGAAAACAGTTAGATGAGCTTCTACAAGCCGGGTTCATTCGACCGTCAAAGGCTCCTTTCGGAGCGCCAGTGCTATTCCAGAAAAAGCACGATGGGAGTTTGCGCTTATGTGTTGACTACAGGGCCCTGAACAAAGTCACCGTAAGAAACAAATATCCTATCCCACTTATAGCAGACTTGTTTGATCAATTGAGTCGGGTCAAGTACTTCTCCAAACTAGACCTGAGATCTGGATACCATCAGGTCAGAATCGTTGAGGGAGATGAGCCAAAGACCACTTGTGTAACACGGTATGGCGCATTTGAATTTCTTGTTATGCCTTTTGGACTAACCAATGCTCCTGCCACATTTTGTACATTGATGAATCAGGTGTTCCATGACTACCTTGACAAATTTGTAGTCATTTATTTAGATGATATAGTGGTGTACAGCTCCACCTTGGAAGAACATCAAGAACACCTATGTCAGGTATTTAAAAGGCTGCAGGACCACCGGTTATATGTAAAAAAGGAGAAATGCGCGTTTGCTCAGACCCAAATCCACTTCCTCGGTCACATTGTCGAACGTGGCCACATTCGAATGGACATGGAAAAGGTTAGGGCCATCAAGGAGTGGACAACACCAAAGAATGTTAGTGAGCTTCGTTCATTTTTGAGACTAGTCAACTACTATAAAAGATTTGTGAAAGGGTACTCTCGCAAGACCACGGCCCTCACGGAGTTATTGAAGAAGGAGCATAAATGGTGTTGGACCAACGAGTGCCAAGAGGCCTTTGAGAGATTGAAAGATGCTATTATGAAGGATCCCATCTTAGCTCTCTCCGATATTGAAAAGCTTTTTAAAGTTCAGACGGATGCATCTGATTTTGCTATTGGAGGTGTGCTTTTACAACAACATCACCCAATAGCATTTGAAAGTAGGAAGCTAAGCGAAGCGGAGAGGAAATATACGGCCCAGGAAAAAGAACTCCTGGCGGTGGTTCATTGCTTGAGGGCTTGGCGACATTACTTGTTGGGTTCACACTTTGTCGTGAAGACGGACAATGCAGCTGTTAGTCATTTTCTCACACAACCAAGGCTTACGGCGAAACAAGCTAGGTGGCAGGAATTTTTAGCGAAATTTGACTTTCATTTTGAGCATATCGCTGGAAAGACCAATCAAGTGGCGGATGCATTGAGCAGGCGACCAGAGTTGGCGGCCCTCAGAAGAATGGCCCCAATGGCAACTAGTAAAGCCACTACGGACATTCACAAGTTGATTGGAGATCATCTAATGAAAGACCCGCAAGCCTGTGCCATCTTGAAGCTAGTGGAAGAAGGGAAGTCCAAATACTTCTGGCAAGAAAATGAAGTCTTGTGGACCAAGGGGCCTCGAGTGTTTGTGCCAAAAGCAGGAGGGCTGAGACAGATGCTGATGAGGGAATGCCATGACACCCCATGGGCGGGACACCCAGGCTGGCAACGTACTTTAGCGTTACTGAAACAGGGATACTATTGGCCTCACATGTGATAAGATGTGATGGACTACACGAAGACTTGCCTCATTTGCCAATAAGACAAAGTCGAAAAGAGGAAACCTGCGGGCATGCTGGAACCATTATCGGTACCCACCAAACCATGGGAAAGCATCTCCCTCGATTTCATTTTGAGCCTACCCAAGGTTGGTGATCTTGGAACTATCTTGGTGGTAATTGATCGGTTTTCCAAGTATGTCACGTTCATCCCCGCTCACAAGTATTGCACAGCAGAAGACAGCTCGACTATTGTTCAAACATGTGGTTAAATATTGGGGCCTCCCTCAAAACATCGTCAGCGATAAAGATCCGAGATTCACGGGGTCCTTTTGGAGGGAACTTTTCAAGATTTTGGGGTCCCAACTCAACAT